CCCCAAAACCCCAAAACCCCAAAACCCCAAAACCCCATGATAAATCTTGTCAATTGGATAAATACATTATTTTCAGAATTAAAACTAGAATGGGATCCTTTTGATGATGAAGAAGAAGAAGACCTAAAGACCTACATGAAAAAGTTTTAGATCAGTCTGACAAAACTGAGATTTCTAAAAGTGAGACTCGCAAAGATGAGGCTCGCAAAGATGAGACTCGCAAAGATGAGACTCACAAAAATGAGGAGATAAAATACTCAAAGACTGAGTCTAAACAAGAGACAGACCCAAGATTAGATAGAGCAAAAGGATGTGTTGTAGGAGCTCTTTGTGGAGATGCGGCCGGAGCGGTCCTTGAGTTTCATCGAGGAGAGATTACTAAAACTCTTTGTAAGTTTTAATTAGGTTAGTGTAGTTACCATATTGTATTTAGGCAATAAAGCTGTCCAAATGCTCGGAGGTGGGGTCTTCAAAGTTGGCCCAGGACAAGTTACTGATGATGGTGAACTCACTATGTGTCTTCTCCATGCCTTAGTCAATAGTGGAGGAAAGTTTCAAGAAACTGAAGTGGCTAAATACTATGGAAAATGGTACAGATCTAATCCATTTGATTGTGGAATCACAATTGGGAATGCTCTTTCTGTTGCAGATCCAGACGATCCAAATCCAGACGATATCAAGAAAGAAGCTGAGAAACTTTCTCAAGGATCACAAAGCAACGGCTCACTGATGAGAGCAACACCACTCGCTGTATTCTGTCATAACATGAAGACTGCTAGTGCTGAAGATTTCGATGCTGAAGAATGGAAAGAACACAAAGCCTGTGTCTTTGAAGCAGCAAAGCTTGATGCCTCTTTCACTCATCCGAGTCCAGCAGTCCACTATGTTGAAGGACTGTACATCTACATGATGACTCTGATCATCAATGGAGTCAAGCTAGCCGATGTCTACAATACAATCATAGACGAAATTGACCATTTAGACAAAGAAGAGTACAAGGACCTGATCCTTGAGTGGGTTGACAAGTCTAAAGAGAGAAAACTTGGTAGCTTAGAACACCAGATGGGATGGATGAAGCATGCCTTTATCTGCTGTCTCAGATATCTCAGACTTGCAAAAGAAAGTGAGGACTTAAACGAACCCCTTGATTCCACATTCTACGAAGAAGCAATGGTAAAGATCCTAATGGGAGGAGGTGACACTGACACCAACGCTTGCATTGCAGGTGGACTCATCGGAGCTATTGTTGGGTTCAAAGGCCTTCCAGAAGAAGCGAAGACCAAAGTTCTGAATTGGGACAATAACAAAGAAGAAGGTCATGAAAGACCTGAATTCCTGGTTCCAAGTATTTATGCTGAGAATTTGATCGAGAGATTATATGATTCCGCTGCAACTGATTTTGAAATAGACTAGATCCTCATCAATTTATCAATTCAGAGAAAATTAGCAGGGGTTTTGGGGTTTTGGGGTTTTGGGGTTTTGGGG